GCTTGAAAGTTACCTGGAAGGCTGGAGCTGGCCGAGTTGTCTCTGGAAGGGGGTTTGCTGAATTTTGTGCATGAACAGCTAAGTCTGGGCTGGGGAGAAGTACCCCCTGTGTGTGCTGCGGTATGGGCAGGTCCCCATCAACCAAAACCTTCATTTGAAGGAGAAGAAATGAGGACTGAAGCCTCATTGCCTCCTCTGCACCCCTGTACACCAGCCCAAACCACCCTGGCTCAGGGGTCTCTTAGACATCAGTCACCTACCTAGCAGCATCGTGCCTGGGGCTCTGTGTTACTGCTGGGCTGGTTTGGGGAGGTTAGACCCACTCCCACCATTCCCATCAGAATACATCCTAGTGCTGCTGGGCAGGGGCGAGCATCTGCATGGGAGCAGGATGGAGAGGGAAGATCAAATAGGAAGGAGAAAGCTCTCCGATGGTGCCGAAAGGAAGGTAATTGCCAGGGAGGAGAAGATGGGGATGTGTGGGATCCTCTTCCTGGCCGTCACTTTAATGCTGACCAGATGGCGGATGTTTGTTTCTGTGACTTGTGTGGGGGAAATATGAACAAGCTGCGAGGCTCGATCCACCCACCCCGGCGCACGCAGCGTCTCCTGTAGAGGCAGGCGCCTCTCTGTTGCACCCAGGTGGATACTCCTGGGGTTTATCGAGATCTCCTCTTGCACCTTTGCCCAAGGAGAAGGCCCTGCTGTTTTGGGTGCAGGGCAGTCTCGATAGCATGGTATGGATGAAAGCAGAGGTTTTAGAGTCCAGTGCAGAACTTACGGGAAGATTTGGGAGGAGCAAAGGACCTGGTGGCCATGTGGTGCTGGTGGCAGCGACTCATGGGGCGCGGGGGCACGCAGAGACCCTGTTGGGTGCTAGGGTGGAGAGGAAGCACCTTTGCTGCTCGAGTGCTGCTGCTGCCCTGCAGATAGATACCAGTATGAGTATTTGCACTGATCCTTTCCAGCCCTCTTTATTTGCCCTCTGACAGGCAGTGGTGACCACTCCTCCCGTACCAGGAGCCCAGCCAGGGGGATCTCAAGCCATGCAGCAGAGCCAGACCCAGCTGCCAACATCTGCATCCATTTCCCGGCATCAGCCCCTGGTGTGGCCTCCCGGGTCCTTGCCAGCGCTGCTGCAAATCCCAAACCCCAGGTCCCCACTCAGCACCTCCGTTGAGCGCTGATTTATTTTTTTAACAAGGTTAAAAACCCTGGTGTCCATTCAGTTTCTGCCTCTCCAGGTACAGCACTATGCAGTTTAACCCCAAACCATCTTCCCTGAATGAGTATTTAATCACACAGAGCTCTGATGGGAAGGGACCACATGTAAAAAACCAGAAAATGGTTTGATTAATTTTGCCTCCTCTTTTCTTACAGTTGCTTTTACAGCCAGTTTTTCCCCAGCTCATTTGAGGTTTCTGAGACCTTTTCTGCCTCAACAGACACCCACAGAAAGCCAGACATGCTGTGACCTTCACTCTCTCTCGGCCTGTGGCTTTATTTCCTAATTATTTAGGGTATTTATTTTCTACCCTCATTTGCAAAGATGCTTAAGCATTTGAGCAGGGCTGAAATACCCAAGCAGTCTGTAACCTTGCCTTCAGCCTACTGCTCCGGGTACCACAGGGCCCACCCGGGATGTCAGCTCTCAGGGTGGTTAAGTTCCAATTAATAAATTGCATTAATGCACTAATGTGCATCGTAGTGTGACCCAGCGCACAGAACACGATGGCAGGAGCTTTGCCAGCTTGGTTTATCTCCTCCAAGCCAAACACTGGGTGCCATTTCTCAGCACTAACTCATTGGACCGCACAGTTTTTTCTCTCTCTGCCCTTTTCACTTTAAACTGTAAAGATCATAGATGCTGGCTTCAAAAGAGGGGTTAACTTTTTAAAAATTTTCATTAGGGATATTAAGTGATTCTTCCCAGGATGGTCATTGTGTGACATTTTAATTTTGATTTTTTTGGTGAATGAAACAGCATCTTCAGCAGATTTATTGCTTAGTGAATGGCATAGCCATGGTGCGTGTCAGACCTGTAAAACATTAAAATAATGGGTAGGGGATTGTTGTTAATCGGAATTTATTACGCTACATAAAGGCATATTTACAGTCCCACCAGGGGACTATTAATTTGTTTGGGGATAAACAATTAATCTCCCTGGGAGTGGGAGCAGAAAATCTGACATGGTTTTATGTCTTTTCCCAGCGCGGCAGAGGCAGGATAGCTCACAGCCTCGGGCTGCCAGGCTCCCCGGGGGGGTCTCCCCTGGTGTGGCCGCGGGTCTGCGGTGCCTGCGGAGAGGCAGCCCACCGGGCAGCAAGGTCCTGCTTCTCCCTGGCCAGTTTTGTGCTGGGAGCTGTGCTCTCTGCTGTGATGAATGGGCTTTTTCCTGCCCCCGCCCGAGCTGGGCTCTCACAGACGGCCTCGATGCATCCCGTTTGTTCCCCTCTCCGCCCTGTCTATTTTTGGGTTTCAGCCTTTGCATCCTGTTTCCTGCATCCTCTCCTTTCTGCTCAAGATGCAACAGGCACAAACAGGGAAGAGAGAGGGAGGTGCTGCACAGCTGGAAGGAGAGGGGTTTTAGCTGCTACTGTTTGGTACCTTTGCTCCATGGACTTCTTCAGACTTAAGCTTTATTATTTTTCTTTGAGCGGCTGTTTGATCTGCAGGTGCGATTCCAGTACAGGGCAGGAGCACCTGGGATAATTCCCAGCCAAGGCCCTGGAAAGGTTATGACAAAAGCAAAATTTCTGTTTTACAAGAGCTTATCCAGTGTTTTGGCAGGAGAAAAAAAAGGGAAAGAAGTTCGCACCTTGTGTTTAAGCAGCTCTGACCATTGCGTACCAGGATAATGTAGGAGCCAGACTCAGACCACTGGCTTGCAGCAGGACCTCTTGCAATCTGCCGTGAAATGCCCCGTGCCTTTCCCCATTGCCACCTATTTTGGGGCGGCTGCGCTACTGCCACCCCTTGTGCCCCACAGCAAAACCGCTTGGCTGCATTACCCCTTCTGCCCCAGAGCTGCCTGGCGGCCGTTTAGTGCCTCAGCATCCCTGGCCCACGTAATAGAAAACAAACCTCACCGTTTACCTATGCTTCTTGCCCACATGAATTTTAACACATTTATTCAAAATGAGACCTTAGTTCCCTTTGCCAAGGCCTGGTTGGATTTGGTCATTTTTTTGGCCACCACCATGCACATCAGGGTGCTGCCGGCCCCGGGACTCCACAGTCTTGCTGCCATCTGTATGAATCCCAATGGCAGGACCCAAACCAGACCCAGCTCTTCTTGCAGTGTAACACTCACCTGCACCCATCCTGTTTGGGCCTTTTTTCTTGGTGCTATGTCCTGAGAAACATCTTTGCACCTTTCTGCCAGGATTAGCAGTCTGAGTGGCTCATAGGTCGTTTCCAGCAGGAGCTGCGATTTTTTAAGGGATTTGCGCTACCATAATTAAGAAAAACCTAGGTCATTAAAAATAATACACTTCATACGAGAAAGCAACAAGCCTGCTTCACAAGACCCCTTTCTGCTGAAAAATTCATTGCTCTAAATAATTAACGGTCCTCGCAAAGCAGGATGGGTTTGCGTGTTGCTGGGTGGAAGGTGAAATTCAGACGCTGGGCAGAGTAATACTTTTTTTTTATGAGTCTGTATTTCCTCGCCATGCTGCTGCCCTGGGAGCAGTGGGGACCAAGGGCTGTGGCTGCTCTCCCAGTGCTGGGAGGGTGTCTGTGCAATGGGGTCACCCATCCCATCCCATCCCATCCCAAACCCTGTGGGTCCCTCCTGGGTATGGACAAGAGAAGGGGATGGTCCCCACTAGGGGTGGTCTCTTTTGCCCTGAAGCAGCACTTGTTTCTTTGCACCTTGGTGGCTTGGAAGGCGCCAGAGAGGAGCAGATACTCCTGCTGCCACAGTCCCTGGCAAAACAGCCTCTCCATTTCTCTTGGTAGCAGTTTGCACGGCCATGCCTTCTACATTGCAAGTCAGGAATTAATTTATTGCCAGAACAGCATTTGCATTGCTTGCGTGGTGTATAAATAGGCTATAAATAAGATTCTGATTTCTAATCACTGCACAGCACAGGGGGAAGCACTCACACCAGGGTGTTGGGACAGTGCCCGTGCTCCCCTGGCCCATCCCTCGCCAGCACCAGCATGTCCCTTTTTGGAGTGGTGGCAGCTCCCTGACAGGACCCTTATTGCCAGAACAGCATTTGCATTGCTTGCGTGGTGTATAAATAGGCTATAAATAAGATTCTGATTTCTAATCACTGCACAGCACAGGGGGAAGCACTCACACCAGGGTGTTGGGACAGTGCCCGTGCTCCCCTGGCCCATCCCTCGCCAGCACCAGCATGTCCCTTTTTGGAGTGGTGGCAGCTCCCTGACAGGACCCTGCAGGATCCAGCTGCTAGAAACCAGCTCAGCAGTAAATAATGCAGGTAGATGTAGGGCAGTGCCAGACCTGTGGGGCAGCACCGCTAGTGCTGGAGGGTCAGGAGGGTTTTTTTTAGCTGCTCGGACCCCCCGTAGCCATCACAGGGTAAACCCAATTCTTCTTCCCCAACTCAGCCTGCCTGTGGTTCCTGCAGCATAACTTGCATTTAGCATATTATTTACTCCTGATTTGTAACCTCTTTGGTGAGGGGCAGCAAATGGAACCATGGTTGCCCAAAAGCTCAAATGTGGGGGGAAAAGTAAAAAAGGAAAATTGTGCATTTCTAACCAGAACATCTCAGCAGGGCGAGAGGGCTGGACAAGGGTGGGTGGAGGTGGGACCTGAGCTCCTTATGGCAGCTCCCACACAGGTTATTAGGAAATGGGGCCTAGACCTGTCTTACAGCTGTACTGCTTTAGGGAGCCAAGGCGCTGATGTTACTGTGGGGTGACTCACCAAAGCCAGAAGCGTTTTGCAGAACTTGCCGTGAAATGCTGTGAAATGACAGGACTTGACGTGGCTGCTGCAACGCTGGGACCAAGATACGAGATGCCCTTGCACTGTTTGAAGGCTGCCACGAGCTGGGTGCTGGAGGAAGAGGCACCCATCATGGGTCCCCTCACTGCCCCCAGCCGCACGGTGCCCCTGGCTGGGCTGGCAAGCGTCCCCGCCAGTACAGGGACCACCTCACTGCCAGTGATGTCCTCTTGGCAGAGGTGGAAATGCCATAAATCAGCACTGCTGATGCAGTTTGCATCTTGCAGCCAGAATATTAAATATCAAAACTGCTTGCACCCTGGCCAGGTGATGGCAGGGGGACAGGCTGCTGTGCTGGCCTCCCCTTGCACTGCCCCTCTGCGCTGTGCCAGCCCCCGGGGAAAACGCTGCCCACCCAGCACTCCTATAGCCTCTGGCACCCCAAAGCATCATGCCACAGTGTGAGCTGAGGTTGAGTAACAGCCTCAAACGACCCAGTTTTGTTGCAAACGAGACTAAATCAAAGACACGGCTGCTGCAGGAAAAAGCCAGTGGGGCTGCTGGAGGTGAGCTGGGCTAAGGGGTGGGAGCAGCCTGTGTGCGGCAAGCTTTGCAGCAGCGGGTTGCCTGCCCTGGAGCATCACTGGCAAAATACCTTCTAATTGCCAGGCTTGCAGGGGCGGGCGCCATCATGAGATACGTTTCAGCTCTCAGTGGAGGCACTGACACGCGTCACAGGCATCTAATGGCACTTGTATTAGCAATGTAACCCTTCGTGCATGTAATACATTTGCTATTATCACCATAGCCTGAATACTAATAACCCCTGGGACCAGGTGATGGGTGAACCGTGGGCTCAAGACTTAACAGTGAATGTAAGGAGCAGAAGGTAGAAGGGAAGGCGTGGGAGAAACCGCCCATGATGGGGCCCCACTTCAAGAGAAGGAATTTGTGGGGAGGTGTCGTGGGGACGGTGGTGGGGGACCACCTTGCTGACAACCCTGTGTGTCCTTTCAGACAAGCGCCGTGCTGTGTGCGGGCGGCTGTGCCCTGCTGGCCCTCAGCTCGCTGCTGGCCATCGTTGCCATCCTGCTGCCCAGCGGAGCCTGCGAGAGGCGAGTCTGCACCCTGGCTGGCTACATGCAGACAGCAGCAGGCAAGTGACGGGGACTTTGCTCTTTGGGGTGGAAAGATGGGGTTTCCCCAGGGTGCTGCCTGGTCATTCATGGCATCCTGGATCTCAGCAACAAGAGGCACTTGCAAACCCTAACCAATGCTGGGAGAAAAGAGAGCAGCCCTTTGCTTTAGCAATTACCTCCTATATCCACGCTTATAAAATCTATTACAAATCCCCTCTGCCCAAATACACAAGTCTGTGGCAGAGAACCTGGGCTGCAGGTGCTGCTCACTGCCCCCTGCTCAGGCTCATGTAGGGAAGGGGTCCATGGCAAGCAACCAAGATCAGACTGCCTGCTGGCAGGGTGCTGCTGCACCTCCCGGGGTCTAATAGATACCTCCTGTGAAGTTTGCAGTCCCATTTGGGCCATCTTTGTGGTTATGCCTCTGGAGGGATTTCCCCTGCTGAGCTTTACACCCGAGACAGGCCGTATATCCCCTGGCCTCCTTGGGCATTGCTTATATTTCCATTGCAGTTGCTTATACTTCTGCCTTTGAGAAGCACTAATGCAGAGGGGAGGAGACAGGCAGCTGGGGAAGGTCATCCCTGTCCTGTGCTCCCTGCAGAGGGACTAATCCCACCACTGGTCAGTCTCCACTGCAGGGAGCCACGTCTCCGGGAGCTGAAGGGTGGGACTAAACAACCCCAATGGGACACAAGCCACAACAGGAGATTAAACCGCCCGTTCATGTCTGTGCCCGAGAATAAACTCCTTTCCTTGGAGAAATCCTTAGGGCCAGCCAGGCTTCGTTATCTGCCTGGCAGCATTCAAGCGGCTTTTGGGGGAAATCCTGTTACATGCTCTCCTCACCAGGGCTCATCCCGCGGGAGCCGATTTGGGAACAGATGGAGGGGCCTGGCCCATTTGCCACAGCTGCTCCAGCTCAACTGGGATGCGGGTGGGCACAGGCAGCTGCTCACATCCGATGCATCCCTTGGAGCCATGAATTGGGCATTCCCATCACCCCACTGTGTCGGATGGTGGCTGTGGCCAGTGTGTCCCCTGGGTGCAGGATGGAGGCTGGAAGAACCCCGTGCCAGCCTGTCTCAGCCCCAGCCTAGGGATGGCATGGGTCACTGGGAGGTGGCTCAGGGTGTCCTTGAGGGTGGCCTCCCGTGCAGGAGAGAAGCGGGATGGAATGGGGTAACCCTGCCTTACCTTTGCTCAAGGGGGTGGCACATCCCCACTGCATCTGGCTCTGCCACAAGAGAAAAAGAGAGTACAAAGCAAGGGATTAGGAAGAGTCCCTGGAAAGGAAACAGGCTGTGGCAGATAAATACAAATGAGGCACTGTGAGGGGTTTTGGTAATATTGAACAGGCTGTAAATAAACTGTAGGCTCTAAGCGTTATTGACAAATGAAAATTTACTGGGTACGTTCAAGCAAGCTAATGGGTTGCTTTAAACCCTGGCGATGCCTTGCTAAGCATTTTGTATTGCGCTTTTTAATTTTGGTTTGCTGTGGATTAATTCCCATTCAGAGCAAGGCAGCCCTGAGTCAACAGAATTAAAAGGTTTAATGTATTTGGATTCAGAAATGCTCTGCCCCCGCCCCCCCCCCCTAATTTTTCTCCATGTTTCACCCCCAGGAGGAAGCTCTTCATTAGAAATCAGCTGCAGCCCAGCAAGCAGCTGGGGAACAGCTAAACTCCTCCCCAGAACTGACATTATCTCAGAGAAAAGCAGGGTTTTTTAGGGGAAATGAATTTATATGGGAGAGAAGGAAGGGAGACCAAGCCTGTGAGGTTTGGTAGAGCAGTTTTCCAATGGGGGGCCAAGATCCATCCCTGCTGTGGTGTCAGCTCTACCAGGGGAACCCCTCTAAAGCCACTGCGAGATGCTGGTGGAGCGGTGGGAAGGAGGAGGGGGCCACATTTCTCCCAAACCCCAGGCTTCCCTGAAGCACAGCAGGTCCCACAGGCACCTTCCCTCTGCCTGTCCTGACATTTTTCACCCTGAATTCAGAATTTTGTTCCCATTTTCCCATCCCACAAAAGCAAGTTGAGGTATTTTGCAGAGCACTGAAGGCCCTAGTAAGTAAGCTTGATAGCATAAAACACTGAACCAGGCAATCTAATTTCCCAATAAAGGGCCGGGTGCATTCAGCCAGGCACATGAAACATGCTGTGAAGTGCATGAGCAGAGGCACTGACAGAGCCAGAATCAGTCCCTGCAGGCTCCGGGCTGTATCAGACAGATGCCCTGAGCCACACTCACTTAAATCCAGGTGCAGAGGCCAAGCTGAACCAAACAAGACCCAATCCTGAGAGCAGCCCCACAGCAAGGGACAGTCAGGCTCACACTATGTCTTTAACACTTTCCTGCTATTTTTTAAGAGATCCAAGCTATGTCTTTTCCAGCCCCAGAAGGAAGGAAGATAGAAACCTCATGCAGATAGAGCAGAGTATTAATTGCAGACACAGACATGTCATCAGGGTTCAGAGCTGGGCTAATTGCCACCATACGTTGAACACGATTACTGATGCCTGGCATCCACTCCTTAGAAAAAAAACCCCAACACATCCACATGAATGACAAGAGGATGATCCCTAATGAAAGAGTAAATGAGCAGCAGAGCAACAGGGAAAGGAGGAAGGATAAAAGACACAACACTTGCTCAGCTCTCACACCCTACGAACAAAGTCAAAGCTACCCCAGGGAGATTAGAGATGGGGCTCACTCCCCAAGCATGGTGCCAGCTCACTAAAATTAAATTTCTGCTATGATACCTCCACCCAGTCCTGCATACCAGCACCACCAGGCAGAGGGGGGTAGCCAAGCTGGCCCCATTTATGTGTGGGTAGCCCCAACCTGCAGCTGCTGCCCATCAGTGCTGATGGAGAGGGGCCCTGGGGCTAACCTCAGGGACAGGGAGTGCAAATGGGTGCACAGCTGAAATCCTGCCACAGTTGTTTTTCAGCAAAAGCCTCTTTGTTGGCATTTTTAAAAATAGGAGTTAATTCCAGGGAGAAATGTCTCCTGCTGTACAGGGCTGTTAGGGAAGGGCAGGGGATGTTCTCCAGGGCTGGCTGTGCCCGTACAACCTCTCTGGTGGCTTCCAGGTGCTGTGCCAGGAGGCTGGGATTTATAGCTGGACATTACAGTTTATCTCTGCAAAGCTCTCAGACCAGTTTTTGAGCAACTGCCAGTGGTGAAGCTGCTGGAAGGAACATGGGGCCATCACAGTGTCTCAGGCACCAGCTTCATCCACGGGCAGCTGTTGGTGATGCCCCAGGGAGCCCCAAGGCCTCACTCCAAGCTGGTGGAGCCCACACAGTCCCCAGCAGTGCCACCACATTAGGGGAGTGTCCTGAAGGCTGGGGGTGCTGACAGCCATAGCAGCCCCTGCTGGCTTTCCAACATGGACCGGATCGTGTCTATTCCATGGCCTGAGAGCATCTGTGCTCCCATGGGAATGGCCTTTCCAGGGGACTAAGACTTGCTACCAGTGGAAACCGAGATTTGAACTGAGGCTGAGTAAACCCCATCAGACAGCAAATTGTTCTGCTTTTGGGGCTTGTGGGACTAAGGGAAGAATTATGGGTCTGCTGTTGGATTAAGATACTGGCAACTGTGCTCTGGCACCAAAGTGGATTGCATCTGCTGCTCAGGAAAATCAACAAGTCTTCGTAGCGGGGACTAGCAGCCTCCCTCCATGGCTCCTTTTGCTACCCTGAAAGCCTCCACAAAAAGCAGGACTGTGCTTCTTTTTACCATGTGCTTTTCAGGCAAAGGGCTCTTGTTTGCAGGTGAGAGGTGGCCAATCCATCAGTGGTTAGCAACTGGATGCACCCCCAGCTGCCCCACGGCTGCTGATCTTTTCCCTGGTCTCTGAGATGTGCCTGCGAAATGGCCTGGCAGGGGTAGGCTGCACAGCTTTGCACCTTGGTGAGGGCACAGGCACAGTCGAACATGAGGGAATCCTTTGGAGAGAGGTTTGCTTTCACCCCACGCTGCTCTCTGTCTAATCCTACCACCATCAGCTCACTGCTGAAGACAAACCCAGTGCTGAGGGCAAATGATCCTGACCTGCCTGTGCCTTTCTAAGGCTCTTTTTGTTTCAAAGAGCAATTTCCCAGCATCGCCATGACAGAATCAGAACAGTCATAAGACTCCAGCAAGACAGGTAGAAACCCCCAGCTACGCAACTCCCTTACTTAGCTGCACTTTAATCCCAAGTTTCATGGCAGTCCCAAGAGCTTCCTCCTGCAAAATTTGATTGCATTCTGCAGTGAAAATCCCTCTTGCTGGCAGAAGCATGGTGGTGTTACAGAGACGGCCTCAGCTTTTATTTAGTTAAGCATCAAAGCAAAATATAGGAGACCTTGTGCTTTTTGAAGTAGCCTGTGATTACTTCAGACACTGATTATCGGGTAAGAGCACATAAAGGGGGAGAATTATTCATTTTCAGATCAGTGTGAATCTTTTAAATGCGTTGCATCCTGAGGACTGAAAAGCAACCCAGATTAAAATGGGCTGTGCCATCCCCCTGGGAGAGCTGCGGGACGGGTGGGAGGTTTGCTCCAGCCTTGGGATGCAGGCACATGGTGGGTCCCTGTCCAGGAGGCTGGCCCAGAGCCTGTGTCACAGTGTTATTTAGGAAGGCAGCGTGTGGTCACTGCCCCCATTGTGCCTTCCATCCCACCCTGCATCTCAGCCTACCTTCGGGATCAGTGGTGCCCTGTTTTTCCCAGCTTGTGCAGGCTCTGAATGGCAAAAAGCACCATCATCTGCATCTGTATTGATTCCTCAGACTAATATCGATCAGCCTGGTGGCATATAGGTAATGTCTAATTAGTATCTTGTATAAAAATAGCACCAAGAGGGTGTACAACCAAGCTGCCTGGGTACTCCGACCTTTGCTAGCATCTCCATGGTGGCAGCAAATAGAGGGTTTGTGGCTGCCTGGTAATTGCTGACCTGCTATTAAAACCACTATGAAAGTCTGCCCTCCCCTGCTGCCATCACTGCCATGTGAG